GTTTGTATATTGTCTTTAACTGCTTCTTAAAAGTCGATGTAGCTCCAGCGAACGAACAGTGGGAGAGAGTTCCAGCAAGAAACGTGATCAGGTCTGAAATCTGGGAGCCATCATGTTTTTTTGTTTCATTTTTCTTATTCACTGTGTTACGTTTTTGTCATATAAAGCACTTCTACATTGTTGCTGAATTGTTCTGTACAAATAAATTTGACTTGAACCGAACAAAATCTTTTATTTTAAATGTTATTTTTAATGTATTTCATTTTATTGCTTGCAAACTTAGATGATGAAAAATAGATGATGAAAAACTGATGACTCGATGTAATTTTCAGCTAAATCTGTTCCTGAGAGTATTTCATATGTAGAAGTCTAGCCTCACAACTGAACATGTGCACTGTTGTTATGGAAACATTAAAAGCTGGACTTAATTACTGAAAGACTGGTGTAAATATGCCATACATTTCATTTTACTCTGTCAGTGTGTTTGCAATCTTTTGATTTGCAAAGCGAACATCTAATTACCCACACAGCTCATAAGAGATGGCAGATGCTTTAACCAATACTCATTAGGTAGGCACATAACTAAATCTGATAATGTTTGCAAATGAAAGTTTGAGTTTCTGCTTGAGCTGGAATTTACTGGCGCATCTGAATCAGATTTTCTTCCAGGTCTTGGTTGTTCAGAACTGCTGCTTGGATGAATCAGATGTTCCAGTGAGGCAGCACACCTGATTCAAATGGATGACAGGACGGCCCATTTGTTCAGCTAATTTATTTTATGAAGCAAAAAATGTGCCGACATGAACCATGTTATCATGTTACAATGATAAAGTCTGAAAACAGTTCAGGGAAAAGGCAATACTGATATGAATATTAATTCATTGCTTTCACCTTAACAATATCAAATCATAGTTACTGTTCTGGACTGTTTCCTGTTTGTTTTAATCTTTTAGTTTTGCATTACCATCTGGCTACAATCCAGAGGTTTAGGCTGAGAACAAAGTTTACTTAAGACTTCTTCATTTGGGGTAGTTGCAGAAAAAAATCCAGATCTTAATCATTTGGATTCAGTTCATTTGAAAGTTCTTGAAAGACCAACATATACATCTACATATTGCAAATACATTATGGCACATGGTATAAAACAAACAAACAAAAAAGAACGTTGATGTATACACTAACCTAAGTTGCATAGAGTACCAGCTGGAACAGATGCATTACACAGCCAGGTATGCAAATTTTGCCTCCACATCAGTTTAATTCTTGTCTTCAGAGCTGTGGTGGGGGGTCAGACTCTGCTGTAGGACAGAACGATGTCCAACAACCCAAGACCAAACCCAATTTTAAAGCAATTAAGAAATACACACCTGCATTTATAGAAACATATTTCATGAACATAGATACAAATACATACACCTGGGATTAGGTTTAGGGCTGAACACAGGGGCATTAAACCCTTTTTTTACATCTGTTTACTTGCTGGGACTGGTGATATGAGGATGGGTTAATCTGGTGAGGGGTGGATTTGGGCTGTTTCTCTTGACATGAAATTAGATCACACTTGCATAGAGCTTTTCTGGACATGCAAAGATATTTTGAATTATTCATTCCCACTCTGGTGATTGGTAGCTATTGCTACAATCCCACTGCAGTCTGTCAGACTGTGGCAGTCTGACGGAGGCGAGGCTGCCCCACACTGGCACCATCAGCCTTTCTGACCACCACCACTAGGCGATGTTAGTGAAGTGTCTTGTCCAAGGACACAACGACAGAGACAGATGGGGGAGTCAAACATTTGTTTGAACTATTCAATCGTTTTTGTATTGAAGTTATCTTTTAAAGCTTTTAAAAACATTGGCTATCTCTTGCCTGAAAGCTACATGACAAAAGTTTTGTGTTTCATGGTGTTTTCACAGTCTACTGGACTTGGTCTCATCTGAGTCCAGTAGACTCAGTTGGGTCTACTGGCCCCTCGCCTGTGGTGGCGCTGCACCAAGAACCACTGAAGGAAACAATCCAAAAACCTCTGAAGAAGACACTAAATGCAACTTCTGTCTTCACAAAGTGTAAACTAAAATGGAGTGGTGTCAGATTGTAGCAGTACTAGGATTACTCTTATGTCTGTGGTGAAAGACCATAAAACATTTCTCCAGCTAGCACTGGAATCACATGTTTGTTTTGGTTGTATTTCCCAGAATGCCTTGCACTCTACTCCACTTATGGCTTCTGGACCAGTCTCTGGTCCACTTCATATATGCATTATGCACCAAAGTTCACTTTAACTGAGCTTAGACCTAGGTTTTCATGCAGACCACACTTGGCTTTTTCAGTCTGCATGTATTGAAATCACCCCAAACGAATCAAGCTTTCAAGATAAATGAGCTAAAGTTGGATTAAAGCTGACTAATAAGGGCTGGCGTTAAGTCAGCCAAATAAACATGGTTCTGAAACAAACTATTACATTTCATTCCTGACCAACAACAGCATAGTTTTGATGTTGACAAAGAAAATCATTTGAAAATTCAGTTAAAACTACTTTCATTTTCTGTGTTGCCAAACAATAGGATAAGGAACAATTTATTTTACCCTCTGTGCATTTGTTTGACAGCCTATCTTCACCTGGCAATTGAACATTTTCTTTGTACTTCGAAGAAAACAAACTAGAGTAGAAATATAAAAAAAACAAGCAAGAGTCTGATTAAAAAAGGAATTGGTGGATTCAGCTAAGGTGTTGGAGTTGTTGCTGTATTCAACATTCAGAGCAGTCCTTGTGGAATTTTTGAAGAGTTAATAATCAATACCAGCACACCAGGCTCTGCTAATTAACACCGATAGAGATGTCGCATGACTTGGTTAATGGAGCAAAAGAAAGTGAGGGAGGAAAAGAGATTGATTTTTGTTTACCCAGACCTGCAACACTGCGTGAAAAAGGGTCTGTCCAAGATTGCTAATGTTGTTCTTAAGCAGCCTATCTGAAATTGGGAGATGAGGCAAAGATCAAGCTATTAGCTTACCCACTTAGCCTGGACTCTGAGGAGGTAACGCACCTATCCAAGCAAAAACTGAACTTGACAAGGACACACTGGGAAGGCTTCCATTACAGAGGCCTTATTGGTTACCTGTCACTAATTCTCACATGTATGATCAGTTTACACAGCCATGTTATCATACTGTAAGAGAAAACGTCATCACTCAGAGAACTACTCATAAAAATTATACCTAACCTTCATAGTTTTTAAACTATATGAAAACAGATAGGTTGTAGGATATGCTTTTATTAGTTTTGTGAAATGTAGGGGAATGGTGGCCCTTTATTGAATTAAATGATGAACTGAGTAAGTTGAAAGAGGAAAAAAGCTGCAGAAGCTGGAAAACTATGTTGGTTTAAAAAAAATGGGATCCTTTGTTGCATTGGCTCATCATTAAATTTCTAAACCCCTGTCTTTGGTCTGCCCTGATATTAAATACATCAAAACATACTTTCAATGATAACTGTTGAACTTCTAGTCAAAACAACTCTTATTATTAACCTGGTTGAAACTATTGACTATTCCTGACCTTTTGCACCACTGACATACACTGTCTAGAAGAGGTGTGCTGATCGATCGGCCACCAATCATAATCGGCCGATTTCCTTGAAAGTTTATGATCAGTGATCACTGATCACCGTCTCTTGTTGCCGATCATCAAAAGCGATAACCTGTATCTCACTTCGCAGCTGCGTATGAAGCTCATCTCTTCTTTCCTTCACACTGTGAAAACGAGTGGCAACAAATCCTGTTGTGTGGAACTATAACGCTCTGACAGTGAATGGGGACGTTTGCGTGTTGCGGTGGAAAATGACCTCGGGGGTGAAGCACTTCAAAATGCATCAACACAATGAATCTAATATGGCATTTAAAAAACAAGCACTTGACGAAGTTTGGCTACATCGAGGCTCAACGCAAGAAAAAAATGACATCCGGAGCGGTCAGACAGCAGGTAAAGCAGCACACAACTACCAACACTCCCCCAGATTAGCATCACGGTCAGAAAGCTAAACAAATAAGTCTTGGAGCTTGCGGTGGAAGATACGTGCTACCAATATTACTACTGGTAGTAATATTTCACAGACATAGAGCTACTCAACCTCCACCAGGCAGTGAAGTCTCACACCGAACGTCTGCTTAAAGCTGCAGCATGTAACTAAAAAAAACAATTTGAGATATGTATTAAAACTTTCACTGTCCTAACCTATGACAGAGATTGCTAATCTCTGAAAAATAATAAATCTCCTTTGCCTCCTCCTGTGTTATGCAGATTTACTCAGCTCAGTCAGAACCAACCAATCAGAACCAACATTTCTCAGCTAGCCATGCTCTCAGGAAGTTTTGATTCAGTAACTCGGGTTTTTTTATTTTAAGGCAACCTGCATTTGACTTTGAATGAATGCTTCGTTTATTACTTGACATTATTTGATATAGGCAGATTTATTTGACTAATAATTGCAGGTTTTTTAGTCCTTTTGACTGATTAGCTGCTATATTTTGCCTGCAAGTATTTTGTATGTTTATGTTTAAATTAGGTAAATTTATTGCCAGATCATTTTTTAATTTATACCTAAAGTGAAAAATGAACAGTCGATCCAGGTGATCAGCAGAGATCGACCTCATGGGTGATCGGTATCGGAATCAGCAGCAGATAACCTGATCAGAGCATCCCTACTGTCTAATGATTATTAAATTTTAGAATTCATAATGAAGACATAGCAAACTATATTCTGCTGTCCTTTGTGAAAAACAAGCTTATAAGTAGCTTTGGGTATTAATCTTCATTCTGACGGTGAAAGTACTGTTATATTTCCAGCACTAGCTCTTTGTGTCACTGATAGATCTGCAACATGCTAAAACCTATAATTAGCTCAAGGCCTGCTGCTGATACGGAAAATACAGGAACAGGGATGAAAACAAAATCTTGGGTAAATTATGTCCTTCCAATGTCTTCTTCAAATGCTACGTTTCTATTGGCTGTGGTGAAAGTATTCCACAGATAATGCCTATGCTGCATTTACACTGAGCGCATTTCATGCATCAAAAACGTGAAACGCTTCAAGTTCGATGTGTGTGCACTTTGAAGTCAGACGCTTGACACTTTGCTCTTGATGCAAATCAGACACATCAAACTTTCTCTAAGCGGACATTGAAAGGAGACTCCTTGGCATTCATGTACCTCAAACTCTTCCACAATCTCCTGCATATTTTGTCTAAATATATATGTTTATCTAATGTTTTTAATGTTTATTTAACATGACTCAAAGTTTTTGATCGATGGATTTGGATAGCTCAAATGTGGTGAAATATTTTCAAATAGTAAACGTTACAAATTACTTGAGATTCCAACTTCCTCACTGAGCCTCTCCCAAGCAAGGTCCTTTGTATTCCTGCCTCTGTAGTCATAACTTCATTAGTCGTAGATTTTAGAACGAGAGCAAACGGCAACATTTAGTTTATGCTCCATATTTAATTTTTATTTTTTCTTTGTGATCACATCGGAAAAATGCACCACTGCGTCACATAGCAGAGTCTCTGATTGGTTGACTCTCTGCGTCAACACATCGGGTGTGTTTGACGTCCGTAAAGTGCTTCAAATCTGCAGCACTAGACGCACAAAATCCACCATGACACACTCTCAACGCACGTCCACATAGATTTTGAATGTAAGCCAGACGCGCCTGATGCTCAAAATGTGTTTGGTGTGAACGCACCATAACGGTTCAACCAAACTGAACTTTGACTGCAGCAATGCAGCATCCAAACTTCACACACTGCCGACCTTTTGCTTTCCATGCCACAGACTGACTTCTTCACTGTAGTTTTACATCTTGAGTACCCCATTATGATTCTGTCATAATGTATGACTCCTTCTACTTCCCATCGCATGCTGCAGTGTTTTCCAGAAAAGCTGCTCATCTCTGACTCCCAGTGACCTTAATGCTGGGAATCACTAGCTTTTAGTCATGATTCCCTTTCAAGAAAAGTCTGTCTGTTGTAGTTGGGAAACGTCTGTAGAATGACTTGGCAACCCCAACCCATCTTCACTCTAAGTCAGTCAAACAATTGGGAATCTTTTTGTCCAATCAGACATAGATCTGAGGTGTGAACTGATTTCAGACCTCACTACAACCGTGTCACCTATGAAATATAGAGAGCTTGACACACTATGTAGGTGCAACTATCTGTTTTTTTTATTTTTTTATTTTATAAATATACCATATTGCAGACATAGTACAAACTATTAACTAACTGGATTGATGTCTCATATGGGGAAGCTAAAACTGACATTGGTGATAATGAAGAAAAGACACTCAGAACAGCGGAAATGAAGATAATTGCCTATAATAAATTATAAAAAGATTACATTGCACCATGAACAGAAAGTCAAAATTCTGTTAAACTGAAAAAAAAAAAGTTTAATTAATTTATAAAATAAGCACAGGTCATTTTAACAATTTGTTGCGGAGCTTAGTTATAAACAAACAAGATTTATGGTTTAACACAATTTAGGTTTTCAGTTGGTGTTTTCTTTTTGTCTATGCGATCCCATATATAGGCTTATTGTTGTCCATGAAGACAGCATAAAAAACAGTTCAAAAGTAGATGATCCAAACTCATTGAGTTATTGAAAAGACATCCTCAACTTTGATTTGAAGAATTAAATTATAGAATAAACTTAGCTCTTGCATATTGCATCTCTTGCATTTTAAGGATAATAAATATATTCTGTCTTAATTTTGAGCATATCTCCTACGCAACCTAAAACCCTCCATCTGAGTTTCCCTGAGGGTTTGATGCTTTCAGTTCAGTTTAGGTGACAGTTTCTGTCCGTGTTCGCCCAGCAGGTCTGATTCCAGCTCTGTGACAGTCGCCTCCTCAGCTTTGGTGTTTCCCCAGTTTTGATTTCAAAAGATATTTCTTCCCAAATAAAAATGATCCTCATTTATTCTTCAGACTATGTCTGCATTCAGCTGTATAAAGCAGTAAGTCAGGCATTGTTATAATTTCTCACTTTATCCTTTAACTTGCTGCCGAAACTTGTTTTGCCACTACAATTTATTTATAGTTTCATGTTCTCTCTTCCTAAGGAAGAGATGTAGATGGAATTTAGCGTTAGAATCTTCCTTAGCACAGCCTAAATCTATGTCGTCTCAACTCTTTCTGGTAACAGAAAACAAAAATGCATCAATTAGGCATTTAAACAGAAATGGACACGCATCAGAGAACCAAGATCTATGATGTCTCTTTTACAGCTCATTAGACACTCACTAGGATGATTTGTCATCTTAGGAAATTAAATGATTTCAGTTGTGATAATAAACTAAAGCCAGAAGTCTGACACAGCTCAGCTGGATTCTGTGAACATATGAGTTTTGACATTCAATATTTGTTACATTTACTGTGAAACTTAGCTTTAAGGCTTTGGCCTCTATAGACAGTCTTTCTTAGCACCTATGGAGGTGACATGCAGACCTGTGACAGTGAATGTATCTCACTATGCTGCAGCTCAGGTCATACACCACATGACTTACAGCCATAATAAGTCAGACACAGAGCCTAACATCCTGGATCTAATCTGACAAACGATTCCCAATGGCCTTCACACTCCAGAACTATAACATCAAACCTTGCCTCAAAGTTCATTAAAGTATATCAGAGTGATAACATGCAGGGAAGAAATAGGCTTTCATTCAGTCGTGTTTCCCTTTAATTACTGATTGTGTAAAATGTATAATCCCAAAGAAAAGCGCAAAATGATAGAAAAACGAGAAACTGAATGAGATACCAACACCAGAACATCTTTCAGGATGTCAGAACAAAGTGGTGCAGCAGTGAGAAACATGAAGTCCATGGACCATGGATGTTCATTTCTAGCCAGCAAGAGCCGGACAGTGTGTCATGAAGTTCTACAGGGACCTGGTGATGAAAACATAATGGAGTCAGGTGTGTCAAACCAGGACAACATTGGAAACATATCTAATTTAAGCTCTTGAGTTCTGACTTTGGAGACTTGTACCGTGGACGCATGGCATGCCACAGGGTGCATTCACACCAGCCCTGCTTACTCTGCTTTAATCAAACTCTAGTTTGTTGGTGGAGGCGCTACATTTTCAGCTCCTGCTGTAAATGTAATATATCTTAAGAGATAGAAATTATTTGTTGCATTTAAGTTTTATTAGTAGGTTTAGGGTCATTGACCTGCTAGAGAGACAACCACGCCATCTTCCACTTACTCTGGCTTCTGATGCAGGATTATAACCCGTGTCTCACATGAATGATGTAAAAGTCTGATTAAATTCAACATGATAATTCAGACTAAAGATGCTTTGAAAGATATTGGAAAAACACCCTATTTAGGACAGCAAATAGAAGTGGCACAAATCTGATTTGTGGGATATTGTGAAAATATCCAAATTGGACAGTTCAGACTGCTGTGAAAACGTTGGTTATGGGACACATATGGCAAAAATATCGGATTCGGGTCGCATTTCCTTTCTGTGTGAATGCAGCAAACATAAACTATCATATGCAATCTCAATAAAATACATGTAAGTTTGTGATCTGTGATTGAGAAAACCCATGAAATAGGTTTCAAGTATGAATTTCCGTTAAGTGCTGGATAATGGAAGAATTCAGACAAGAACAGAGAATGGTCGACTCAACATTCAAGAATTTCCTAATTGGATTTAAAAAATTGCTGTTCACAAATACTCCACATCTCATCTGGCTTAAGATGGATTGCCTTTGTCAAGAAAAACAAACGGATCCATTTTTTAAAAAAGACTAATTGTGCAAAATGTGTGTGCATGTGCAAATCCATCATTTTTTTCTTCTCTTTTTCACTATTTTGTGATGATGTGGTGTAAAATCTTAAAGTAAAAGTTTGTGGTTGTAACGTGATGGTATGAGAAAGTTTGAGTACTTTTGTAAAGCTCTGTCTTTGTTCTACAAATTACATACAATATATATCAGTATGTACAACCAAATTCTGAAAACAAAATAGTTTTAAAATTATGAATTTTAAATAAGCGAAATTCCATAAAGTTTGTGAGAGGCTCTTCCAACTATACATGTAAAGATCATCATAACATCATAACAATGTGACCACTCACAGAAGAGCTCGTAACATAGCTGCTTTCTACAAAGCAAAGTTTAACCGGAAAAATAAAGTTGTTTGGAGCTGAAAATAATTACTTTCACATTATACAAACACATATAAACAGAAAAGCATTGAAGCTAAACAGAGAGCATACAAACAAACAGAGAGAGAGAACCTATTCCTTAATACTTTAACACCACTTTAAATTGGAAGCTTGTATCATTTTAACTCTGCTGCTGGATCACATTCCTTTTAATCCTCCCTATTTCACGCTAGAGGTGACAGTCAGCTGTGAAGGCTTTTCAGAGTGCGTTCAGCTGCAGAAAAACTGAGCCTTAACAGGATTATTTTGACAGAAGAATTTCAAGATCACCTGAACTTCACTTTTTTATTCATCATGGATTCATCCAGTAACCTGCAAGAAACACTACAAAACGCTTATCCTTCAGAGCAAAGTGTTTCCTTCTGTGTGTCCACAGATGTGGTGAAATCAAGTTGGTTTTAAAATTATGTTTTGAAGACAGATTATTATACTGGTTAAATTAAACAATAGCAATAAATGGAAACATGACTAATTCAGGCTGTTTCCATTTTGTGTGTGTGTGTATATATATATATATATATATATATATATATATATATATATATATATATATATATATATATATATATATATAGCCTTGCTACAATCTAAACTTATAATTGGGTCAGGTGAGAACACAGCGGGATCTTTGTCTAGTTTGCCTCCAGTCAGCCTTAAGAAATAAGTGATTTTAGACAATGTGCAGCAACACAAAGACTATTCCAGATCTTTTTAATACTAATGGATACCACTGAGTAATAAAAGTTTTGAAAAAGTACAACTTTTGATCAACTTTTGATGACTCACAATGCTTTTTGTTTGAGAACTAAAATTTCTAGATTGTTCCTTACTATATTATTGTCTTGTATTAACGTTATTGGAATATTGAAAACTAAAATAATAGTAATAATAATTATCGAGCCAATCGGGATGCCTGAACAGCTGCTCTTACAACGGGCCGCCTATTTAAAAAAGCTCATCTTTGAAGCTCCAGTCCCCAGTCAAGTTTCTGCCCCCCAGAGAACTTCCTCAGCCCCCACAAATCCACTAAGGAGTTCCTCCAGACTAGCAGCAGCATCAGTTAACAACATCTGGTGGAACAGCATGTCTACTCAGCCCCTCATGCAAACTACAAAACTCCTAAGAATGGTTATAAATGGCATCATGGAGAAGCATTGTTCTGATGTCATTCTGAGGGAGGAAAGGAAGAATTTCCAGGCGTCGGATACATGTATGATGCACATGTTCTGAGCAGCAGCGGTCTGATTTAGTTCTGGGGAAAATGATTTGTATAAGACATATTAATACTCCTCTGCATCTCTTTCTTTTTCAGCGTTCTAATTGAAACCTGGAATTCATCAAGCTCATATTTGTCTTTCATCACAGAAATATTCCTTTTCTTCTGCTCTTATTCAAATTGTAAGCCTTGAAAAATTCTTTCTGTAGATTCAAATCCGACTTCATTAGGCTGATTTTACTTCCAGCCAGCTCTCTGTTTAATGAATCTTATAACTTTATGCTAATGCGTTTCATAAAAGTCAAAGTGTGAGGTTAACTATATTAATTAAGCAGACCCGACATATTTGATTTTGCTAACCAGGGTCATGTTGGTTGTTAGGCTAAAATTGTGTGTTCAAGATCTCCTACCTTCTCTTGTCACCACGATTCCAAAGATTAATCTCTATGTTGTCCAGGGCTTCATAAGTCAAGTGTAAAGCCTGTGGCATGAGTTTGGAACTCCAGCTCTCCAGGGCCGGCAATTTTTAGATGTGTTCCTGGTTCAACAAGCCCAAATCAAATGGCTGAGTTACCTCCTCAATATGCAGTCGGGTTCCCCAGAGTCCTGCTAATGACCTGATTATTTGATGAATTTGTGTTGAAGCAGAGATACATCTAAAAGTTACAGAGGACTTGAGTTGAAACCTGCTGGTCTACAGTTCGGGTGTGAGCATAACCAGTTAGCACAGCTGGTGTAGAAAAGAAAAGTGAAGCTATTTTACATCCACATATACCCTTTAAATACTCTTGTATGCAAAGCAAGTATTTCTACAACGTCTTCTTGTTGTTCAAGACTGACAACACACACACTCACATGCAGTTAGAGCAGAGAAAACACTCCAGGTCCTAAGCTGCCATGGTTAATGATTAAGTGTAAGGAAGAATATAGATTCCATTCTTAGGAACCACTTCTACTGTCCTAATGTCCTGTAATTTCAAGATTAAGAGTTTATTAATTACAGGTCAGCATTTCTGACACTAAAATGTTGTCAGAACAACATATCATGCGCTGGACGTCATCTATCCCCAAATAATATCATTGGAGTTCTGTTCAAGGAAGGATGTAGAATACTTCAAAACGAAGGACAGTTTTCTACTTGAAGAAGTAGAAGTAGAAATGGTACTTTTTATGCCTTTAAAAAAATGGAATAGACTCATCCTCTGTTTCTGATGCTTGCGGTACAATGAGAGAACACTGAAGGTCAGTTCAATTAATAATGAGAAGGGGGCACCCGATGCCTCAACATGTGATGACGAGGGGCCCTGACCAAGCGAAGGGAGTCCTATTGAAAAACTCTATGATCGCCACACAGACACAGACGCTTGCTACATCATCTCCATATCGTCCACTGGTTGTCCACTGTTTGATGCCAGTGGACAACCAGAAGCTCTATTGAAGGAAAAAGCTCCCAGTTCATGATGGAGCCTTCTCCACTATGACATGTAGATGTATACCTTCTCTTTATCTTTGGTAGGTTTACATTTTAAGCTTTATGATGTGGGTGAAATAGGTCGGGTGTCCTTCCTCCAGCTTGCTGGAATCTTGACCCATTCCACCCTGACAGAACTGATCTAATGGAGTCAGGTTTATAGACTGCTTTGTTTGCACACCTGCTCAGGTCTGCCTGCACATTTTGTACAGGTCTGAGATCAGCTTTTTGTGATTAATTTTGTTGTCCTTTTGCAAATTTGTGGCTAATTTTCTGCTATTATTTGGATCATTGTCTGCTTAGAAAACCCATTTGCGCCAAATGATTAGCTTCTCTATTAATATCTTCCAAGAATGTTTCCATATTTTCAAATTAGAAAATTTTAAAATACTGTTGGTGATCCTGACTGACCCAAAGCTGGAGAGGTTTGTATAATATAATGGCAGTAAGGAGGGGAAAGGTTATCTCCTTTTATACAGCATGCAAACATCTAGTGTTGAACTCTTAGTAATTCCTTAGTTAAAACCCTCATGCAACTCCTACTTAAACTGGAGATCACATTATGTGTTCTACATTATCATATATGTTATTTAATGCTTTAAACACAATAGGAATACAAGATACACAATATCATTGAAGGATATAAGAAGCGCTGCACCAAGTTTTCTGTTGGGATGTTAATTGATGAACTCTGATGTTCTTTCTGAATTTCTCCCCTGTAACTTGTTCTGCAGTGATATGTCAATGATGTCTTAAATCTTCTTTATTGGCAGCCTCAGTCTTCACTTGGATTACATCTAAACACCAACCCTGGCACCTGAATAAGGATTTCCTTTCATGAAGCCTGAGCACAAGCTACACACACTGAAAATATGACAAATGCAAATGGGACAAGAGAAATCAAATGTGACTAACGTGCATTGAAACAGAGAAAATCAATTGTCTCTTGAACAAATGGATGAGCTATTAAAATGATTGTGTCCTACAGGAATATATTATCCTCCGCAGCTGCCAGCAGAGGCAACAGCGTCTCGTATGCTAAGTCTGCTTGGCCCGGGAATGCACATTAGCACACTCACCAAGTCAATTATTTCTACAATATGCATCGGGTAAATGTGATTTATCTCCCTGCGCCTATGCTCCTAGCTCTTGCCTATTATCATTATAATGAGTCTGAAACATGCAATAAAAATATTGCTACACAAAGCGAAATAGGAGCATGAGGAGACATTTTTTTAAGAGATCATATGTCTGGTGGTGACAAGGAGA